AGATTTCGCTTGGCCTCTGGAGACTGGTGAATATGCCAATATTCTGCGAAATTTTATTGCAATGCATGAATAGCCTTTCGTGAAGAGGGTGGGATGCTGTTTAAATTATCGATCCGCCCAATTCCATATAATGCCCCGAGATCCAGTATTCTTTACACAGAGGTCCTGATCCGAAATTCAAATAGATACGTTTCGTATTCCTCATTACATAAAGGGGAAAGATTGGGCCAATAGTATTTCTGTCTACTGTGGAGGTAAAGGTGGTTCAGTATTAAGAAAATCTAGAAATGCGCATGAAACGCTATTCATTCTTCAAGTGAAAAGACTTTCTTTAAAGAATGCCAACTTTCCTTTGACAAATGAAAATAATTGTGTGTTTCATTAATTGAAAGTAAATAGAATTTTACCTCATAACAGAAAACTATCATCGCAAAATTCAATGCTGTTAACATTTCATCACTTTTAGAAAAAATATTCTTCTTCGCCATATATTTTTTTCTGCCTTACTGAGTTACATAAATAATATTTTGTCATTTAACTACCAGTATCTGATTACTTCTGGAGAGTGATAATAAGCTATCTCCCAAGTGCCAAAGATCTCGATGTGATAGTAAATCCCTAATTTATAATATCATATTCTTGTGTACCAACGTTTAACGGCTCAGATGAAACAATACTTAATAAATGATTGAATTGAATAGTCTTGTATTTTTAGGAAATCTATCACTCTAAAATCATTCCCATAATAAAATAGGAACACTTGAAATACCAAGTAACGGAGTTATTTGTTGTGAAGTTCCATGGATCGCATGCAAACTCGATAGCGCAAGGGTGTAGAAATCACCGAGTGTGTGGCAGTAGGTGCTTAATTTATTCATTGATTGATTGATTGAATTTGCCTTATTTTACGTGGCGAGACTCGAGCCATCAGGTCCGCTCTTCCCACGTCTGACCACGCATATTTCGCTACGCTCCTTTCACCGACTAGGAGAGAAAGGAGGTATTACTTGGGCGAGAAAAAGGCGATTTGAATTTAGCTCAGAGGCGTCATTTAGGCTTGAGGATCTTTTACATGCAAGTAAATCTACGAACATGGGACAGCCGGCTTTACTTCCCCTCCGAAGGAAGCCGTACGAAGGATTTTTTCGCCCTTAAAAATCCACGGCTTCGATCGGGTTTGAACCCGCCAACTTCGGTACAACAGTCCAGTACGCTAACCGTTACACCATCGCCGCCACAGTATTCATCTAAGGGTACAAATGAATCAAAGCAGCGAGTTCTAGTGTTCTGTTCCCGTAGTACCGCAATTTCTGCGGAAATGTTTTGAAAATATTAAGGACATTAAAACACTATTTTTTTCTCTAAGAGCTTACTCTTGTAGAAAAATTAAACTAAAGGAATTCAACCATCCAACATAAGTATTGCGCCCTCACCAGATAACACAGTAGTGAAAATCGTCGATTTCTCTGCATACGCCATTTTCTTTATCTTATCTTATAAATGTGTACGTGCTTGCAGAAATTATACAATTTTACGAATAAATGGGTATAGAAAACTCACTGAATAGCGCAGATGTGTGATGATTCCTTACAATTTACAATCTTGTTCGCAGTACAATAGAAATAACCACGCCGTCATCGATAAAACAATACAAACATAATCGGCCGCTTTCCAAAACAAAAGCACGAAAACGTAGCCGCATCAACTAAAATGCCTGAACAAAATACCTAGTCTACAGCCACGAGCACAATACCAAAAGGAATGAGCCTAATGAGCGAATTAACTATAAAGTGGCGAGTTGCTCCTAATATTCCGTCCTCCTTTTCGCTCACGTCATTTGACGCAGGGGAGGGGTAGCTGCCCCGACTGGGTGGCGGTTACCTCAGGTACAACAGATATGTATTTAATACTGAAGTTGATGAACAGGAATCTTAAGTTGTAGGAATTAAACAAATCCGATTACACAAATTATCAACACATCCGATGTGAGCAGGGTTTGGTGAACTCGTTTGTATCAGGCGTTCATTTTATCTTTCCAGGTGTTACCATGAGTGCAGTCAATAAATTAACCACGACAGTGTAATTCGGATTGCTATACTTACCCGCCATTGCTAACATATTTGGAATACGAAATTTGGAATTTGCATTAGATGTTCGCACTTTTATGGCCAAAGGTGTACGTGTGCGTAAAAATCAAATTTAAAGAAACTAAATCGGATAGCTGTTGTTTGCACGATATTACAAGGTCTAGTGGAACCCATTGATTTGCCAGTATAAGGCATTTACTTTATTTTCCCCCAGATGTCCGTTCATAAATCACACATCACTATCAACTACGAGTGCATGAGTTGGAAAATAGTCATCTAACGCTTGGTAGTGAAGACCTCCATTATTTGTTAGTACTGCATTACTACTAATTGTGTTCACTTTGTTATCAAAGTCGGTTCATTACTGAAGATTGGAGTACGTTATTCCTTTGTAGCGAATATTGCATCACCTGCCGGAATTCGCTCGCTAGTTCGCGAGTCACGTAGAGGTGTGGCGCACGTTCCCGACGGCTCGAGGCGAGCGCCGGCAAGTTATAAATTCGCCGCTGCCGGCGGCCACTAGTCAGTAAGTAGTCAAGTAGAAGTAGTAAGCAGTCAGTCCGTCAGTGTGTCTGAAGTGAAAGCTAAGCTGTGAAGTGTGCATCGCGGTATACAGCAGAGCAGTGGTCTGCGCAGTGAAGTGTGGTCTGCACAGTGAAGTGTGGTCAGCGCAGTGAATTGTGGACAGTGCATCGGACTGTACGATAGTGTAGAAAAAGTGAATAGTGTAAATAAATAATCAAGGGAACGGAGTCTTGTATAAGGAAAATTATCAAGTGAAGAATACAAGGTGTAGGTTTGTGGGTTTTAATTCACCGCCGAGAAATGTTACATCCTTTATAGCTGCATGTGTGTGGAAATTAAACAAGTCAAAATACTAATTGATTACATAGAAGCCCCGGAAAGAAGTCAAATTTGGCACCTAATCTAGAAAGAAACAATTATAACCCTTCTTTGGTATAAATTAAGAGCAAAGGTGTACATTTCTAATGTACCGCCTTAAAAAGAGTTATTTTTTCTTCAACAAATCTCCAACTTCATTACAGAGAAATGAAAATCAATGCCCCAAAGAATAACGTACGAACTGTTTCGTAAAAGACTATCAGAGCGCAGCCCCACCCCGGGCTGGGCTACTGCCAGCACCAGTGTTGGAATTCTTAGAAAACCTAGTTGTTTTTCAACCTAAGGCGCTATTAGCACGCATTATTCAAGTCATCGGCCGAACCATTTGTGTCGGGATTGAGATGCAACGAAGAAACATTTTCGCATATTATATAGGTGTTAATTATAGACTGTCCGTGCCTTGTTTTGAAGTTCTGTGGCTACACGTTCTCCGTGATACAGATGTTTACCGCGGCAGAAGAGTGAAATATATAAGGTCGGCAAAGCATTTGTTGAAAAAAACGTAAATAAAGCCCAGGACAGGTAACACGAAATACTGAATGTTGGAAATCAGTTTCAAACGCGGTTGAGTGCTGTCAGTATTCATTTTTTGGTTAATTCATAAATACCTTTTGCATGAACCAGGAAGGCGGACTTGCCAAAATCGACCACTAATATTCAAACTGTTCAACTCCATTCACATGACACAACCATTTCGACGCCTTTACACCAACAATGTTACATTGTCTGATAATGCAATAGCACTCACTTTGTATTTCCAAAAGTGAACATACTCGCAAGTTGCGCTCACTGATAGCGCAGGGGTCTAGTGCGGGTGAGCAGTAAGCGAGCACAGATACTCATCGTGCACAGGAAATGCTAGCCCACGCGTTGGCAAATATTTATCTTGCATTTTACAGCATCAGCGTAGCAACTTTTATGCAAATATTTTTGTAGCTCTTAATAGCATCTATATTGCAAGTTTAATAATATTCTTTCACCTTTCTTTTCAAATTTTATTCATTAGTACAGAATGATTTTTGTTAATATCTCCAAAACACAACGTGAATGGGAATTAAACAAGGTAGAGATATCCAGGAGAATACTATACTCAAACGTTAGCTCTACAATTTAATATAATTGCATTGATGCATTCTGCACTCATTTTATCTTTCGAAAAGTGAATGTGCTCTAAAAATTACACGAAATCGTATGAAACACCATGCTCATATTATCTGTCTTAAAGTGTACATGCTCGTTAAATATAATATAAATTTCCGTAATTTAAGGATGTAAAGCCAGAGGTCCCATGCTGTAGATTTACTGCATTTAAACGTTCCTCAAGCCCAAGAGGAACTTCTAAGTAAAATGTAAATCCCCTGTTTTGCCGCCCTTTTAGTAGTACCTTCTTTCTCTGCTACACAGTACAAGAAGTGCACTTGAATTTGTGCAGTGAGACAGAAGTGCAGGCCTGATGGTGTGACTTTCGCCACAGAAAATAAGGCAAACTTAAATAATTGGGGAAACTAAAAATGCTCATGTGGTATTGTTCACATTACTCAAGGATATTTTTTCACGTACGTCACTTCGAATCAGGGATGCATCCTCCTTCTGCAGGTACATGTACTTTCATCTGTGGGGGGATCATCATTTTAGCTGAATTTTCCGTATTTTCATTCCCGAATGTTGTTAACCCTGGAGGTACGGAAGATGACAATGAGGGACGACGGAAGGACGGCACACACATACACAAATACACCCATGCCCGAGGCGGAACTCGAACCCGCGGTCTTCTGGTCCGAGACCGCTACGACACTACTGTCCTAACGATCTCGGCCATCTTGATCGGCCAAGGGTAAATAATGTCAATCACAAATACATATTGAAGTAGACAAAGACGCCTAAAATGCTAAGAACACAGAGGGCGTCTTGATCGGTCAAGGGTAAATAATGGCAATCACAAATACATATTAAAGTAGACAAAGACGCCTAAAATGCTAAGAAGAGAGAGGGCGTGTGTGTCGTGCTCACCCGGTAGCGCAGCGGCCTGGTGGTGGTGAGGCCGAGCCACGGCGAGCAGTATGCGAGCGCGAACGCCCAGACGGCCGCGGTGATGCGCTTGGCGCGTGCCACCGTGCACAGCGACTGCGAGCGCATGGGCTGGCAGATGGCGATGTAGCGCTCGACGGTGAACGCCACCAGGCTGAGCGACGACGCGTTGATGCCCAGGTTCTGGCAGAAGACGAAGCCCGCGCACCCCAGCTCCCCCCACAGCCACTGGTTGCCCACCAGGTAGTAGCTGACCAGCTCGTTCGGCACCGACGACAGCAGCACCACGCAGTCCGCCACCGCCAGGCTCACCTGCGCAACACACGCGCACGCGCGTCAGCAGGGCGCACATAGTAAGGAGATATCATAGTCAGGAGATATCATAGTAAGGAGATATCATAGTAAGGAGATATCATAGTAAGGAGATATCATAGTAAGGAGATATCATAGTAAGGAGATATCATAGTAAAGAGATATCATAGTAAAGAGATATCATAGTAAAGAGATATCATAGTAAAGAGATATCCTTAAACTCTATTGATCACGTGACTAACGCCTTTATACGGTCGTAAGGAACAACGTTCGGAAGAGTTTTAGCAATTGCGACATTGCGTTATGCATTATAACAAAGCAAGCATTTCAAGCGTTGGACAGAGAAATTACATAATATATCAAAGAGTGTAGACTAGTGGTGAGACATTTAAAACACGTTACGAGTCAACAGAATAACAAATGTACGTTGTGCATGGAGTTTTAGATTTTGTGGCCCTCCGTGATGGATGTGAAATCTGGATCTGCTTTTCTTGAAAATACAGGAAACACTTAGCAACAGCCTTCCTTATGAGCATAAGACATAACCTATCCAGAAGATATGATTTGAACTCTTTTTTCGCAAATTTATTTTCTGTCTTCTAACCAACATATCCCGTTAATGCTTGCCAGCGTTGTGGAGTTGGTAAGGAATAAATGTAACTGCCTCACATACAAGAATCGTTTTACCAGAGTTGGAAAAATTCAACTTTTCCTGTTTTAGGCGGCCATTTTGCCGCATGTAAGGTGACCGTAGAGACACTCACAGACGTGCACTATTTATGAAGGTATAAGGTCGTACCTTAGGAGTAAGGTAAGACGTTATGACTTCAAGGTGCGTCACGTGACTATTAGTGCATAACGCCGCTAAATTTGAATGTTTACTACTGTTAACGCGCTTACGCGTGGCGCTAAAACGTCGTAATGACAGCACTGAAGCAAAGACAGACATATACCGGAACATTTCAGAAAGTAAAAAGATACTCAGGATAATTAAGTTCTGAATTAGGTACAATAACAGAAAAAAGAGGTACATGTGTTTCTGCCTTTAACGAGCCAGAAAATGGAAAGAAACCAAGAATGTAGGTTAAGCTGTAAGAGGATCGTTATCATCAAAGATATATTGAAATTAATATAAAATTATTTATGCGAATAACAATATCAAAATGTTTAAACTATGTTTTAAATTAGCAACAGATAACAGAAAAAACGCAGGACATGGCTGTTTGTTTTGCTGAAGAGTTAGAAATTGAAAACAAGTCAACAAGAAATTAGGTAGATCCATACATGAATTAAAACATCGATAAAAGTACAAGTAAGTTCTGGGGAGATGTTATTCTGTAGTCGTCAATACGACCTTTGACATCACATTTACGGGTTTTCATATCAATAACTTTATATAAAAAGAGACAAAACTTTTTTCTGGGCGTTTTATACGATAAAATAAAAGTAATGAATAGTAATTAAAACTAAGGTTCTTCAAATGATCCTTATTAGATTGAATTGCAACTATTCCATTTCTCTTTTCCAATTTCTTCTCAATATCTGAGAGATACTATTTCTTCCTCATTCACTAGTGCAGATACAGTTGAATATAGCAAAGTTAGCCAGTCGCCAAAGACCAGTAATTCGTCGAAGAGATCTGAGAGAAAACGCATGCAAGTTGACTTCAATTAATGTAAAACGCGAGCTGTCTAGAAAGTTTTGCATGACCAGCGTACCGTATTTTTCGGCTACTTTTCTCTGTCTAGCAGCAGTTAAGAACACAGACTACTGAGTACTAATACATTACCTATGGATAATAGGATGATAGATATAGGATAATAGATACATTACATATGGACCTCATAGGATAAACGCAGGTTTCTATACTTCATAGTAACATGCAAACGATTGCAAATGCCTTTTAGGTCTTAAATACCTCTAATTAAATGTTTTCCGTGTATTGTATAACAAATAATGCTTTAGGTCTAGATGTAGGGATCATATTCGTAAGGAGGAACTAGATACACTGCAGAAATTAGATTTCCCGTTTGAAGATATATAAAAAGTTATAACAATTAGAAACTGTCCACGTGATGTGTGGATATTAAAGCAAATACACTTAACAGATCTACTGCAAGTATGAAGGTTATTAATGAATCCTTAAAATAAACGCAATGGTTTCATATTTTACGACTAGCGTCATAATGGTTTTGAAGCGTAGTATT